CGCCAAAGACAGGATCCTGTTTGTGGGGCATTGTGTCACCAGCAAAGGAGTATCCCCAGATCCAAACAAGGTCAGAGCGATCATGGAGATGCCAGAGCCTAAAGACACTGAAGGTGTGAGGAGAGTGATGGGCATGGCCAACTATCTGGGGAAATTTCTTCCGCAACTCGCATCGTACACAAAACCATTAAAAGAATTGCTCAGCGAGAAAAACGAGTGGCACTGGGAAACTCAGCAGAAAATGGCATTCCAGAGACTGAAAACAGAAATAAGTTCACCACGAGAGCTGGCTCCCTGCTCACTAAAAGCTCATACATGCATGGCAGCAGATGCATCGTCTTACGGGCTGGGAGCGGTTCTCACACAGGAACAACTGGATGGAACATGGAGGCCAGCTGTGTTCATGTCAAGAGGTTTAACTGAAGCGAAAAAACACTACACCCAAATAGAGAAAGAGGCATTGGCGGCCACATGGGCATGTGAGTGACTGGCACCCTACATTCACGGTCTCAGATTCAGGTTGGAACCCGACCATAAGCCTTTAGTGCCACTCCTAAGCACTAAGGCTTTAGATGACCTTCCACCGAGAGTACTGAGGTTCTAAGACTAATGAATTTCACATACAAAATAGTGCATGTTCCCGGTAAAGATTAGATAACAGCCAACATCCTGTCCAGGGCACCTGTAAACGGGACTATGACACAGGAAGCTCAAGAGCAGGAGTCTGAAGTCAAAGTGTTTATGGACACAGTGATCCAAAATCTACCAGCAACGGGGCCAAGACTTGAAGAGATCCAAAAGAGAGAGCACGCGGACTCAGTCTGCGTAAAACTCATCCAGTACTGTAAGAGGGGGTAGCCGGAAAAGCAGGAACTATCCCCCGAGCTGGGACCATATTGGCCGGAAAAAGATAGCATCTCCTTAGCAGGAGAATTACTGCTAAGGGGACAAAGACTGGGGTTTCACAAGACACGAGAAGGGAAATCTTGGAGAAGTTGCATCATGGTCACCAGGGAATAGTTGAATGCAGGGCGAGAGCTCGTCGGGCAGTTTGGTGGCCTGGGTTGTCTGTGCAGACTGGACAACTGGTGGACAATTGCAACGTCTGTTCGCAACTGCGAGCTGAACACGAAGAACCTCTGATGATTACTCCAGTACAGCAAGGAACCCTGGCAGAGGGTAGGTACCGACCTCTTCTTCTGGGAAAAAGAGACACATATTCTTGTTGTGGACTACTTTTCGAGGTATATCAAAGTGGCGAAGCTAAAGGAGATGTCAGCTGCTACCGTGGTATCAGCTATCAAAGAAGCCTTCAGTTGCCATGGGATACCTGAGACAGTAGTGTCAGACAATGGACCACAGTATAGTAGTGAATTTTTTAAGGACTTTGCAACAGAGTTTGGGTTCCTGCACATCACGAGTAGTCCACGGTACCCGCAAGCCAATGGGAAGGCAGAGTGGGCGGTGGCTACGGTGAAAGGACTGTGGAAAGGGGGAGGAGAGAAAACAAAAGCGCTCCAAACCTACCGAGCTACACCCCCTAGAGTGCGGCTACTCACCTGCACAAATTCTGATGGGGAGACAGTTGCAAACAGCACTACCACAACATCCAGCTGCCTTGGTTCCGAGATGGCCAAACATCAGAGGATTCCGAGGCAAGCAGAGAAAAGCGAAAAAGGATCAGCGATGTCAATACAACCGGCGACACAGAGCCCGACCACTTACACCACTGGAACCAGGTCAGGCTGTGTGGCTTCCAAGAGAGAACAATGAAGGGACTGTTGTACAGCAGGCAGTAACACGTAGATCACGGGTAGGGAACCCTGGTCCTGGAGAGCCTCTATCCAGCACATTTTAGAGGTTGCCCTGCTTTAAAACACCTGATTTTAATTAGCAGGTGATTAAAAGGCTTCTGCAGAGCCTGATGAGCAGTTGAACAAGTGATTCAACTTTGTTGAAGCAGGGCGACCTCTAAAACGGATAGTGGCTCTCCAGGACCAGGGTTCCCTTCCCCTGACCTAGATCATATGTCATTCAAACAGATAAGGGACACATACGGCGAAACCGCATACATGTGAGGCCGTTATGTACAACAACTGTTATTACACCAGTTACTAATGTAGAGCGTGGTACTGAGGATACAAACAAGCTGTACGCCTGTTATGCCCAGTTGGAAGATAGGGGTAGATACAGAAGGTACACCTTATGTAACAGCCTCAGGACAAGTGTCTAGTGCACCAAAGCGTTTAGACCTCTAGGGACACTGTTAAAGAAATAAAAAAGTCCAGATTAATATAAATGTTCTTGTTAGGGTGTATGATTAATAAAAAGGAGGTACGTATGGAAAGAGTACAGGTAGGGGTGCTAACTACAGAGGGGAGGTGTTGGATAATGTGGAACATGTTGTAACCCAGACATGGGAAGTGTTACCGTGCCAGAAACGGATGTGACGAGGGACTTCGGGGAATAAAGAAAGACATGAAAATATAAGCTGGGGTTGTCTTTGCCTCCTGCACCACTAAACGAAGCACGGTTAACATAACACAGACATGCTGACTGCTCAACACGCACTAACCATGGACTCAAATGTTAATGTAAACAAAAGCTCTGATATTAAAATCGATCCAGTTGATGTGATGCAGGTAGAATAAAAAACAGCTAGATGAGTGCAGACTCCTGCAGACAAGCGAAACACCGGTTTCAGTCGTCTTCATGGCGACAGATTTGGAGCGACGGCAGGGACAACCAATAACACGTTGGCATGATGCGGCAGAGCTAATCAGAGAGCTTGTGGGCGGGTCTAAGGGTTCAGCTTGAGGAGGCTGCCTCCATATGGTCCTAGTGCCTGACCTGTATTCAAGTATGACAAATTTGGACAGTAAAATCTGACGGAAGACAAAAATAAGGCACTTTGGGCACTTCAAACAAAAGGGGCAGGAGCATAAAGCACATGAGAGGCAGGACTAACCAGTTCAGAAATAACAATCAGAAAAACTGCGGAAATGCTGACTGTACAGCGTGACGTTGTACTCTTTTAGATGTAGTCAAAATGGCGCCTGGCGATGGCGCTAACATCTTTCTTTAGAAGAAAGGCTTTTAGCAGTTCTTTTTGTTGTGGTTTTGAAGACATAACCAGGAGGAAAGAGCTGTGGCAAACTCCATTTCAAATGCCATCTTCGTTGTTTATGAGAAACTGAGCGTCATGTGTGACATCCGCTGCTCAGTGCTGATTGGCGCAGTTAGAATTCTCAGGGGGTGGGGTTATTTGAATGGGAGAGTTACCAGACTTATTCTCTGTGGAGAAATAAACAGAGGACGAGTATGGCAGGCCAGGCTAGGTTATGGATCAGCACCAGAAAATTCTTGATGACAAATGAAGACGAGTCATGCACAGTAATTTGATAAGTGGATAAATACAGATTCATAACTGGTGCTAGCACTCTTGGGTGTTTTACGATAAGGAGCTTTTACTGCACTTATTACGGTAGTATTTCTCTGGCATTACAGGAAGTATGGTTGTCTTGCTGTTAGCTTGCTCTTATAGCTCAGAACATCTCATTAAAGGAAGTACAATGATATGAAATAATGTTCCACAAAAAGATCCTTTAACTCAGATATGAGGTACATCACTCCAATACCAGCAGAGTTTTCCACCAAACCACAAACTTTGCTGGGTGGACGGCATCCGCAACTGATTCATTATTCACTTCACACACATTTCACTGATTTATTGAGTTGTTGGTGATTGAAAAAGTAGCTTGAGATTTTTTAGAGCCGACTATTTGCTTCTAATTCACCCTTATTAGATATTAGAGTAAAACAAAAAGATGCTGTGGGTTCTTAGGGGTATAGGAAATAACTTCTGGGTCGCTTCTGTGTACTGGCTTTGGTACTTTAAACAACTCTGGAGTTTTTTACCTGCTGGTGTTGAACTACTAATGCCTGCTCTGCTTTAGCTCAGTGCAGAATCTTCAACCTTACAGAGTGTAAAGAGTAGCTACGTCCTCCTTTTGTTTTTTCTTTTTAAGAAGAAAATCCAGACACTACTGTTTTGTGGTTATTATTTCACTATCGAATTCTTACAAATTGCTGCTTTAAAAGTCTATAGCGATTACCGTATTTTCCTGAGTATAAGTTGCTCCGGAGTATAAGTCGCACCAGCCATAAAATGTATAATGAAGAAGAAAAAAAACATATATAAGTTGCACTGGACTATAAGTCGCATTTTGGGGGGAAATTTTATTATTTTTCTTACAAAATCTGAGACCAAGCATTTCACATTGCAAGACAAGTACTGGTAACAATAACAGAATAAATAACGCGAGCGCAGCAGCGCGCCACGGTCTCCAGCAGAGGATGGCGGTGTTTCAAACCCTCCCAGCGGGACAGGGTAGCTCATTCCTGGGTCGGAGCCGCCCGGCCCGTAGCAGCTCGCCACGGTCTCCAGCAGGTGATGGCGGGGCAGAGGAGCTTTTTCCTGGTCCGGAGCTGGTCCGCAGCAGCACAGTATACATAATGTGGTACGTAAGTCGCTCCGGAGTATAAGTCGCACGACCAGCCAGACTATGAAAAAAAGTGTGACTTATAGTCCGGAAAATACGGTATATGTGAGATTTTTAACTTGTTGTAGACAGAAATAAACTACATGGACATACTAACAGAAACAAAACGTTTAAGTATGATAGTGTACTACAGAAGTCAAGGCTAGACTCTCATATTTTCAATTAAACCCCCACCAGCATTCAACCCATGCCTTTTAGCCAGCCACACAGAGCCACAGCACAAGCAACAGCACAACAGAACAATGGGTCATGTTCAGAAAAGTTGCAATCATTTTATCGGGGCTTGTCTTGGTAACTCCCTGAAACTGGGTCCTCGTTTCTCGATTTACATTTTTTTACAACTTCTCTAAACGCAACCATAGAAAATGTTTTCAACTACATCAAGAAAAATACTGAAAGAAGAAAAAGCAGGAAGCAAAGCATGCTGGGATGACTCACACAACGCCATACCAGACTGAGAATGTCTGCTGGAAGCCTCCGTCATAGCCAGCCTCCCAGGACACGTTGACCCAGGTGGAGGAGGCTGCCACGTAGATGTTGACAGGGGCGTGGGGGCTTGTGCCTGAATAGAGAAACAGCAACTGGTAAAAGGGCATCTTAGTCATGAAGTGACACTGGTGTGGAGTCCCATGCTGCTTATAATCATGACAAAGGGAGGTGGTGTATTTTTGTTGGAGTGAATTTAAACTGATATGCAGCCAACCCTTGGAGCCATGTCATTGATGTGATTGGACAGGCTTACACCCAGAATGTATGTGACCATGGTCACTGAAGACAAGAACTAGCGAAAGGTCAGAGGTAAAAAATAAAAAACACTGCCTGGTTGTTCAGGCTAGGAATCGGTGTGTTGATACGAAATAATGTTCCACAAAAAGATCCTTTAACTCAGATATGAGGTACATCACTCCAATACCAGCAGAGTTTTCCACCAAACCACAAACTTTGCTGGGTGGACGGCATCCAGATGGGCTGAAATAATCCTTATTTCTTCATTGATAAGAATGGTGCTTTGAGTCAAATCAACACTTTGCCCAAGTTCAACGAGCTGGCTGTAACTGATAAAACCTCAGACCAGTCAACGGAGCTTTAGGGGTCTCAGAACTGTCTCAGCAAAATACGAATGAAATCATTGCATTAGAGTTCTGTTTGGGATCATATGTGTGTATCCAGGTGTTTAACAGGTACCTATGACTTGGACATGAGTGCTGGCAGTGATGCTTGTGGCAACGTTGGTGGCGACACACTCCCACTCCCCGTGGTCCTCCTTTGTAAGTGACTTCAGCTGTAAGCTCCCTCTGGGCAGGACATTGTGCTTACTTTTACTGGGCTTTCCTACCTGCAGTAGACCCAGGGAAAGAAAAGTTTGAGTCCAAAAGAAAGAGAGACACAGATGTACAAGTGCAATACAAAACTCTGAACTTTACATGATAAGCCTGAGATGAGGTGGTGTGGCACTGCAAATCTCATGAGATGTTGCACTGAGGACAAATATTTGATTAGCTAACATTAATCTTCTTTGGGGATTTGTGGACTGCACACTGGAGGAATACCTAGATCTTGATCTACAACAACACATACACATGGATACCACCCAACAGGAGATGTATATAACAGCAGGAACCTCATTAATAAAACTTTATATTAAATCCTGCTAAAAGTCTGCTTAAATTCAACAAAAAAAATTGTACCAAAGCTAATTACAATTATGATCTATAAGGCATTGTGTGCACACAGCTGCATAAAACTCCTGCTTTATAAATCACACACTTCCTAGAAATGTGCTCAGGTGTTTCTGGATCACATCCTGCCTCCTACACACCCACTTTCAGCCATAAATGGTTGATGCAAAGAACTTTATGAATATTCAGCATGTAAATACACACTGGTTTGTTTGTGGCATGTCACAAGTAACCATGGCAAACAAGAATAAAATCAAGATGCTTGTGCATCATGTAGAGGCACAAAAAAGTTTTATGCCTTTCAATTCAATTCAACTTTATTTATAAAGCGCCAAATTATGACAAGAGTCGTCTCAAGGCACTTCACATAGTAAACATTCCAATACAGTTCAGTTCATCAAGCCATTCACCAAAAAGTTTCCTATATAAGGAACCCAGCAAATTGCACTGAGTCACTGACTAGTGTCAGAGTCTTTACAGCAATCCTCATACTAAGCAAGCATGCAGCAACAGTGGAGAGGAAAACTCCCATGTAACATGAAGAAACCTCCAGAGGATCCTGGCTCAGTATAAGCAGCCATCCTCACTAGGGATCAAGAACACAGAGCAGGCACACACCAACACCCACCAACCCAAACACACACACAACATATATACCAAGTAGTGTTTCTATGGTTACATTGTGCTTTCTTTGTAAATATGAGATATGATCGCTCTTTTCAGCTGCAGCATTTGGGACAAGCTGAAGACTTTTAACTACATTCTGTGGACTTCCTGATAGTAATGAATTACAGTAATCCAGTCTTGATGTAATAAATGCATGAACTAGTTTTTCAGCATCACTCCTGGAAAGTATGCTTCTAATCATAGCAATATTCCAGAGGTAGAAGAAGGAAATCCTACAACCCTGTTTAACATGGGATTTGAATGACATGCCCTGGTCAATGATAACACTAAGGTTCCTTACTTTGTTCTCTGAGACTAATTTAATGCTGTTCAGGTCAGGTGATTGACTAAGCAGTTTCCTTTCCTGAAGTTTTGGTCCAACGATGAGAACTTCTGTCTAGTCTTGATTTAAAGGCAGAAAGTTTAGAGTCATCCAATTTTTTATGTCTTCAAGACAAGCCTGTAATCAACCTAACCGATTTTTTGAGTGGTGCAGTGTTGTTGCAGCATTGAGCTGAGAAGTGTTAGGTTATATCCCCTGCTAGCACTCAGCTTAAGGCTCAGATAATCACATAAGGAAATCCATTTTTTTTTATCTTGTAATCATTTTTGAGTATTTTATAATCACTTAAGATCCATGAGTTTTGCTGCTTTCTTAATTATACAATGCAACAAAGAATACTGACTCTGTGACACAATCATTTAATCAAAGTATTAAAGGCCTCTTATTCTCAAGTCTCCTATTTTATAAAACTGAATAAAGAATGCTTATTCGTGCATGCTATAGAATGAAACCACCATTAATTTACTCACCATGATTTGACAACTAATGCTTCACATATATATTAAAATGCTGTAACGGAATTGAAGTGATGTAACTATCTGGAGTTGTATTTTAATACACTGTAAGTAGATCACTTTTTATAAACAGAAGAATAGGCTGTTTTTATCATCAGGGAGTTTAATTAAACACTCTGTATTGACTTTGAGACAAGAAAAGAGAGAGAGATGGGATCGTCAGGAGGCAGCTGTGTGGAGATGAAAACAATGAACTTCATAACCTTACAATGCCTTTGACACATTTTTATTAAAGCTGCTAATATGGTCAAAGGCTGCATGAGAAGTTACATTATTGCACTCAGCAGCAAGGACCACTAGAGCATTGCATGAGTTAATGGTGGCCCAGGTCAAAGTGCACAACGAGATAGGGCACCAGATCCCAAAAGGGACTGGGAGACTTATGACCCCGATTAGGGCTGAGTGTCTCAGTTAGAAAAGAGCAATAAATAGAAGGAAGTGTGGTTTTTGTGTTGACATGACATTTTGCAGACTGCCTGGAAATGAGGTGATTTTCATCCTATAGAAAGACGGACACCAGCGGACCAATGGGAAGAGACCACATTTGCACATTCCCTTAATGATTGTAATAGGGAGCCTAAGTCACTTCTGCATCATGGGTCCCCAGAAGAACGAAAAAATGAATGCAAGTCAACGGGGCTAAAAACGCAATTTTCTAATTTCGTTTGTTTTGTGCCATAGACTTCACATGAATTTTAAAGACACATTTTGATACCAAGAAAGTGCTTATTTTTGAATGGGGGGGAACGATATTTTAGGTGTTGTGTGAAAATAAGTCCAGGAATACAAATGAGTTTCACGAAAGTGATGTCATCGAACCAGACATGGAGAAAACTGAGGAAAACTGGCTGTAAGTTCAGCAATCTTCCCACAATAGGAAAGAGTCACCATAAATCTGGTCATTTGGTAAGTAGCAGCTTCTTTGGGGAGAGGAGATGATTTGCGACGTGCCGATTTCTAGTTTGTAGTCATGCTAATTACGAACTTTTACAAGCTAGTAAATCTCAAAGTACTTGACTGGTGTGGCCGAAACACCCATCAATAATTTTCATTTAAATTGCAGTACAACATGTGTGCAATCCAGGGTGTAAGACAAAGCGGATTAGAAAATTGTGTTTTTAGCATTGACATATATACTGGACAATGTGTTTCCATTGGCTCCAATAATAAGTTTTTAAGCCGAAATTGGAGGTGACCACCACCGCCGTTTTGACCGTGTCTCAGGTTCCATCAAGCCCAGACAATTCCATAAAAGGGAAAAGAGGTGGAGCTGAGGGTGGGGCTGTAAGGCTAGAATAAAATGACGACACCTGTCGAACTGAAGCTAACAAAGGGAACTATCCAAGCTACAACCGGAGTTAACTGTGCACAACACCGGAGCTTCTAAGTCAGATGCGCCGAGCTGACCGCTGGGTAAAGTCGGGTAGAACACAGAGGTCTCCCGAGAGCTCCAAAAGCCGGCAGCTGCGCAGCAGACAGGCACCGCTCCGATCAGAGGTGCGTTGAGCTGCCGCTGGGGAGAACCGGCTGGAAAACATTGGTTTCCATCCGAGAGCTCCATAAGCCGGCAGCCGCGCAGCAGACAAGCGCCACTCCGATCAGAGATGCGTTGAGCTGCCGCTGGGGAGAACCGGGTGGAAAACATCTGTTTCCATCCGAGAGCTCCACAAGCCGGCAGCCGCGCAGCAGACAGGCGCCGCTGCGATCAGAGATGCATTGAGCTGCCGCTATGAGTCCATACCGATAGTCGGAACACAGCTCCACCAACACGTCACATTTCAACCCATTTTCAAAAATGCAGCGTTGTGTTAAATGCACTGGGTTTTACCCTGTTACATTTCAATTTCATGGTTAAATAGTACATGTTAAAATCCAAGCTCAGCTAGTGCAAGAGCGGCAGTGACCTAAAATACATAAATATAATTTTACTTACTGAAAAAAATGAAGTGGAGACTCCTTGGACGCTCTATTAGTGCACAAACGCTACAACTAATGGTCTAAGTTGAGAGACTAAAAATGGCGGAACAGTTTTCAGGCAAGACCGAGGCTCAGACTGAGGCCTTTCCCCGGAGCTACCTCTGTGGTTACGTGGGTCTGATGCTCAATAATTATTCAGAATTTTAGGCATTTAATCCACTTACAGAAGAGTGACCTGTAAACTGTTATCATTTTCTGTGGCTGAGAAATAAATTGCCAGAGTTTAACTTTAAACAACTGTTTTTATTGTCTTTTATTATTCACCTAGGAGCACGTACTGAACAGAAGCTATGAAGCAGCGGACAATAAAAAAGAGTGGTCAGATGGAGGCAAAGAGGAAGATGGCAAAACCCAATGATAACCTCCAAAATGGCTGCACTATGGTGCTCAGGGATCCGTGAGATATTCCAGATTTAAGAGTAACATTAAATGATGTAACATTTAGTTACAATAAGAAGTGGTTCTGTGGTTCTAAATACAGTAAGATGGTAGTTCCCTTTCAGTCGATTCACTCGGTACAACGAAGGAAGTATGGGACATCACACCCTCATGTGGCCTGGCTGAAGACACATTTAATCACGCGTGTAAGGCAAATGAAAGTGACGCTGCATGGAGGCTTCCGCCCTCCACTTATAAGCGACCGCGTCACTGTCATTCCTCAGTTCTTACGCAGTTCACCTCGCGGAGTACACACCTGAAAACTAGCTGCGCTATTGAAAGATAGCTTAACTGCTCGCTGACTGGACGCTACTGCTTTCTGGCTAGCATTCCTGCCCACCGAGTGCTATCTTCTGTGGCTCTTCAGCTTCTCTGCTTTCGCTCCGCTGTGTGTCTCGCAATGAGCACCGTGTTGGATGTCGCTTCACGGAAAGCCGCTTCGCGCCCCTGTCCTCATGGCTATGGATTCTTTTTTCACGAGAAGGACCTACACTAAGTGTGCCCGGTTTTTCTGGGAATTCTCCATGCCAGGAGAGCGCTTGTGGACCCAGAGTTCTGTCACCAACTCCGCCGTCCCACGCTCGAATGGCACGTGAAGGTCCTACAACGTCTCCTGGGAGACGCTGCAGTTTTGCAGCAGGACCCCATGCTTTCCCGTTCGGCCCGGCTTCACCCGGCTCTGACGTAGACAGCCTAGTGATTGATGTCCCAGCTACTAGCTGAGCAGATCAGATGGAGATGACGGACAATTTAACCGGACCAGACCTAGAGGCTTCTCAGTTTCCTCCTCTGGCAGAGGATGAAGGAGACATTTTGGACATTTGCCCCGACGGTCAAGACTTACTGGAGAACGAGGAGGTCTTCTCAGCGGTGGAGTGTTCAGCTCCAGACGCTACTTCAGCCTCCGAGTTGCGAGATGACACTTCTTTTCTCCCGCTCTGCCGGCGTGCAGCGGGGAGGCTAAAAGTGGACTGGCCCGCTCATCCACCTGCACAAAAGATCCCGGGACCGACCATGTTCGGGTTTTGGACCCTGTTGGGCTACAAAACCCCAGTTTTCTACAGTTGAAATCAACCGGTTCAGCTACGGTTAAACCTCACAGTCCAAAGAGCATTTGTTAACGGCCCCAAGGGTCGAGAGTTGTACTGTATGTTCTCCCGCTCTGCTGGAGAACAGCAGCTTTCCTCCGGTGGCAGACAGGATGTTCAGAAAGCCTCCCGTTCCGCTAGAGGGCAGCAGCTCCCCCACCAGGGCGCTGAACGGTTGCTGAGCAGTTGCTGAGCGGTGAAACTTTACCTCTGGCGAGCATCCGCAGTGACCCCATGGGTCGGGCGCACGATTGCCATGGGTTACAGACTGCAGTTCCTGGTCAAACCGTCCGTATTTACCTCTGTTGTGCAGACATGTGTAAATACCGACGCTGCGGTCGTGTTACGGGAGGGAATTCAGACTCTTCTGTTGAAAGGAGCTATTCGAGCGGACCCTGTCAAGGACACAAACAAAGGTTGGTACAGCCGCTACTTTGTTGTCCCCCCCCCCCAAAAAAGGGGGGGGGGGGCCTTCGGCCTATTTTTGATCTGCGTGTGTTAAACAAGTATCTGCGAATGTACAGGTTCAAAATGCTAACACTCCAACAGCTACTAGATAAGGTCAGTCCCAGAGATTGGTTTACTACAATCATTTTCACAGATGCTTATTTCCAGGTGGGAATCCATCCCGATCACAGGCGGTTCCTGCGCTTTGCTTTCGAAGGGAACGCCTACGAGTACACGGTTGTGCCTTTTGGGTTAGCTCTAGCTCCCCACACCTTTTCGAAATGTGTGGAAGCCGCACTAGCCCCCCTCAGGGAGGAGGGCATCCGGATCATCGTGTAAAGGATGGGTAGTTTACATCTTACTTATGAACCATAAAATGTGAGATTCCATAGAAATATGAAATATCAATCTGATGGATCTTTGAATATTTTAACCAGAACATCAGAATTTTTTATTACAGGGATTACTTGACACTTCGTATTAACTCAGAGGAAAGAAAGAGGGTCAAGTTTATAATAGTTTAGAAATTACTTTTTACACAATTTAAACAAGACAAACATTAACACTGTGTACTGATGGACTAAGGTGGAGTGACACGTGCGATGATGGTGTGTGTGTGGAATGCTATTATCCCTGTGGATCCGGAGAAGCATTTAGATCTGAGTGGGAGTGGATGTTTCGCTCTAAACTTTAGTAGGAGATTTATAACACACATGGAACGCCATCTGTCAGTCTACGGGTCTACGGCACATTCCAGGGTGGCCTTTTATTGTGGGCAGTCTAAGGTACACCTGTGCACTACTCATGATGTCAGATCAGCATCTTGATTTGGCACACCTGTTAGGTGGGATGGATTATCTCAGAAAAGCACAGGTGCTCTCTATCACACATTTAGACTGATTTGTGAACAATGTTTGAGAGAAATGGTAATATTGTGTACCTGGAATGAATTTTAGATCTTTAAGTCCATCTCATGAAAAATGGGAGCAAAAACAAAGGACTTGCATTTACATTTTTGTTCAGTGTAGATAGAGTATCACAGCTTATTGGTCATAAGTAGAGGTAAAATATAGAGCTCTTAAAGCACTTAATTTCCCAAACCCTTGTAACGTGAGGAAATATGGGTTTTCTGTCACAAAGGTGGTGTTGGACTCAGCTAGGTCAAAGCTGGGTCATTGAGAACTTTCACCCACAGATTAAGACCTGAACGCCAGCGAGTCTGGGAGGAAACCATAACATCTGCCACCTGCAGTACCAGAAGAAGGAGTTCTCATGGACAAGTAGTCATAACATAACAAGTCTTAAAACTTTGTTTCTTGATTTTAATGTTAAAGTAACCATTATAATTTTGCTCATTATGAATGTGTTTAATCAAATGAATGGTTCTTATGCTTTGGGTAATTATAAGAGATTTAATTAATCCATTCTTAATTAAATGATAATGTTGAGGATGTTTGTTACTGACCTTCACAAACACTACACACACCCATACACAGATTCTCACAGTAAACTCCAAACACATTTGCTGACGCACACGTTTGCTTTGAGAAGAGAAAGGTTTTTGGTAAGTTTCAGTTTTATGATTTCAGTTCGTGCTTGACAACGAAAGAGAGAGGACGTGTGAACAACCGCTAACGGGGGAACAGA